TGGCGATGAAGGGAGTACTTTGAGGAACTCCTTAACCCCGCGCAACAGCAGGAAGACTCGCCTTTAGAGCAGAAGGGTACGTATATTTCTATCTCTGTAGATGAAATTGCACAGGCTGTGGAAAGCTTGAAAAATGGAAAAGCTGCTGGAACTGACGTAATCCGCCCTGAGATGCTGAAGGCATTAGGCGAACAAGGCATGTGTTGGCTTAGGCGTGTCTGTCATACTGCGATAACTTCGGGAAAGACACCAGCGGAGTGGAGAATGGTAGTTATTCAAGATCACAAGAAGTGCTCCAATCATAAGGGCAATACCTTGCTGCGCTTCTCAGGTAAAGCCTGCGCAAAGATATTTGAAAGGAAATATCGCGTGATAACTGACTCTAAAACACAAGAAGAGAAATGTGGCTTCCCGGTCGAAGCATCTCTGATCCCGTATGTTTGCCCTACGGAAGACTGTTGAGAAATCACAGGAGTTTACTTATTCGGTTAACATATGCTTTGTAAACCTGGGGAAAGCCTATGACCGATTCCCGCGCAACAATCAAGAGGCACCCCAGCAAACATACGGGATCGAAGGACAACACTACGAGCCATTCAGTGATTATATGCCAATAGCTGGTGCTGCGTCGGTGTAAAGTCGAAACATTCTAACTTCGGCAATAGTCTCAACCAGGGCTATGCTTCTGTTGAACATGGGTGGGATAGTCGAACGCATCAAGGGCGACAAGTTTATCAGCGTAGGTTATGAAAAGACCAGAAGGTTGCTGCTTGCAGACGACCTGGTATAGATGGCATCTTCGGAAGCTGATCTCAAGCGCTCTCTGGGAAGGTTGGCAGCCAAGTGCGATGAATCAAGCATGAACCCAGCTTATGGACTAGCGTGAAACCAACAGCTTAGTGCTTTCTCGTTCTTCGTACAGAAATGGAGAGACAGTGGAACAGGTGAAGTTCATTTTCTTCGCTATCGTGTTTACGTCAGACTGAAAAGTCACAGCTGTGACGGTTTGAATACATGTTGCGAATGCCTTCAAAAAAAAATGGCGAAGTAATTTCTATATACCCAACCGACCGATTGGAGACCCCGGGGACGGCCAAGATTATTTTGGTGGAGCATTTCGCTGCAGACTTCAGTTTCCTCCTTCCAATGCTAAAATGCGGGTACAGGATAGGATCTGGACCGTTGAAAGGACTGTCCAATACATATGTCTTCCCCCACCCGAAAGGACAAATGGAAAATAAATTGAACGACTTAATTTCTGAAACTGCAACATTTTCATAATCATAGTAAGCAGGGGCTCGTAAAATAAGATTATTGCCAATAAACGCATTATACAAAAATACAGATAATGCATTTATGTATTCAAGAAAACTGTCTCGATATTATTTTATCTTCGAATATTTTTAGGTAAAGTTTCACCTTTCAAATGGCTAAGAGGTGGAATTGAGTTCGTTGACAACATTCCTCGCTCAGAAAATGCAAAA